CTTGCCTTAGCAGTTTTTACTCGGTTGCTGGTTGCCTTCCAGGCCAGAGGTTAATCCTCTTAATAATTTTAAAACGTATTGTAGTGTTAACAGTTCCTGTACTACATACGGCTTCCTGTTAATATACGGCCAATCTTCCACGTAGGCCCTTGTTTATTATTCCAAAGTTAAGTTAGAGTTTAGTTTAATATTTTTATATTCTTACGTTCAGACCACAAGTGGTTGGTCTCTGTATCCGAAGTCCGGAAATTATTGTAAAGAGTGAAAAATAAAAGGGTTTCGTATACCTTCCTGTGTATCTTGTCTACTTCCCACATTTATTGAACATAGCTTTAGTAAGCTCCCTGTTCCGAGTCAGGTCTTTGAATGTTCCCAAAGAAAGTAAGGAGAAACACTGAACCTGATAATACAATCTATAACAGAAAAACCGACGTACCAAGAACGATTTATCTAAAAGGGGCGAAAATCTGTAGCCGTGATGTATATGATATCTTGAAAACGAGACGCTAACTGTATCATGGGAATTGAATGTTTTATTCAGGAAATACAGGTACAAGAGGAAAAAAAATTCCACAACGCGTTGATCCACCAATGGCCCCGACGCAAGCTGTCATCCTACTTTCCACTGAGTCGTAACGTTGGCAGATGTCCCCCTGCGAGATGGCTTGAAATACAATTTCCAACTGGTGAGTTAGATAAGCAGGATTGAGGGATGTTCGGAGACGCCTGCTCATCAGAATACAAATGTGCTAGGTTGGGGAGAGATCAGGGTGTCATGTATCACAAACAAAGGGGTCCAGCTGTCAAATGAAATGTACCCCATACCAATATTACGGTTGTCGGGCTGTGTAGCGGACGATAGTCAAGTTAGTAATCCCACCGCTGTCCTGAACGTCACCAAACATTTCTTCGTTGGTCACCGAGGATGAGTATGAACCGGAGTTCATTGCTAAAAACAATTCTATTGCACGTGAGATCTCAGATCGAATACGCCCGGACACAGTAGACGTGCCAGGTGGTGTTCCAGGGTGAGGGAAAATTGGAGCAGTGACCTCAGGCGTTCGCTGAGTCGCCTGTCAATGATAACTACAGCCACTGATATCCAGGTTACATCAGTTTGTGAGGTTTATGTTAATTTTTCTAACAGTTAATTTTTAGTTAAAAGTTACTTTAATATCTTCCTGAATTTCAGCTTACAACTTCCGGCCAGAACTTATTTTCAGAATCGCGTTTGAATGCACAAGAGGAGAAGTATTTAACTGTGAAGTTCTACACTGACTTCGTTAGAGAGCCATAGATTCTATGGAGCGCGCGTTAGCCTTTTGGCTATACTCTCTCTAAAGCTATTCTATGATCGGTCGTACTTTACGACCTTGATACCTTCGCCGTTAATTAGCGTTAAGGGGACAACTCTGTTAGAATCTTGATAGCTTCGGATATATCTTTTTAGCTAGATTAGTTAAGTTTTTCTTAGTTTCTTGAGTTCAAGCCCGAGTGGAGGCTTTATTATAAAACTCCAAGAAGGAGTATTCTGTGAACTTTATTTGGAATAATAAAGGGTATTTAACCCTTCTCACGTTTCGTTCTCTGTCTCACGAACTCAAGCGATTATTCGCTTATCAGTTCTTAAGATTCCTCAACTTTAACTGTAACTTAAAGGTACCCAGTAAAGGAATCTTACAAGTTCGTTGATAAGAACGCATCAGGAGCTGTGACAGCGGATCAGGCGATCACTCTCGCATAGCTCCGAGCCTAATGTCTGGTGATCGTGACATTTGAGTACCCTACTTCCATTAGTCCAGCTGTATGTCCTCTCTAAAATAGCGATATTTGCTCTTACTCTTCGTGAAACCTTCTGAGATGCTCTGGTACAGTCTATGTATGTAGACGGAACCACTTTCGCGTTAAGACAGAATTCATTATTCACATTCGCGTTAAGACGGAACTACATTTCTGTTCCAAAACTAAGTTATACCTTTGTTTGGGAATGTCCTTTATTTTATACACCATCCGTGTGCTCATTTTCGATGCGCTGGAGATCCAGCTAATCAGTCACTAGCCACCGGAAGTTAATCATTTGCATATTCTATCTTAAGGAATGGGCATACGCAATTTCGTCCCGTTCAGATATTTCATTTTCGGTAAGGCTAAAATCAGAGAACTATAGCTTGAATTGATAAACGCGCTCATCAAATTGTTGGGAAAGAAATTAAGCATTTTAGTTGGAAAACGAAAGCATTGTTCTTTTCAGCTAGCAACAAACGTTTTCAAAACACGTTGAAGATGCCTCAAAAGCAACTAGATGCTTTAAATGGTAAGAAATGAACCAGTTGTCATAGGATGATGTGGCTTGCATCGCCATTCATCGTCTAAATTATGATTTTTTAACCGATGGTGAAAAGGAAATTGTAATTTTGCGTATGTATCCTCCATCTAAGAAAATCCCATTCTTAAAACTTGTGATTACACTTGTCAGCGATATGTTGAACAATATTTAGGTCTATTGGAGTGACTTCGCGGCTAATAGCATCTTTTAATTGTGCTACGATTGCTAGATCGCTAGTGTATAACAAGGGACCTGAAATAATCATGCAACTCAAAATCTAGCGATACAGAAGACCAAGCAGTAAGGCATGAAGGACTAATTAGTTGCTCAGGATTAAACGATGACGAACTGCTTCAGAGAGGCTGCTATATGAGGGGGAACACCAACTTGCACAAACGTGAGAGTCGCTATGGCATTTCGTTACCTCAAACATGATTTCACATTTTCGCGTAACAATTTTAGGTAGTACTATCGAAGTCCGTTTCCCAGACATTTGATTGCTCATAGCTCTGCAATAAATAAGTGAATAAACAAATAAATAAAAATAAATAAAAATTAAAAATAAATTAAGTCAATGATTACAGAGCCGTGAAATCATATCACACATATAGTCGAAGTGAAATTAAAGGCTACCCACAGCACACACAAGAATTATCCTTTGCAAATATTCGACAGTTATGGGTATTAAAAATTTTTGTGTAATGATAAATATGAGTACTCACGTTTTAGAGCAAACAGCTTCGCGTTCTTTACCGAATTTTTTACAAAAAGAAAAAAATGATAATTTATAAATAAAAAACATTATTTATTACAAAATTGAAATTTTAGTTTTAACTAAGTATTTATTCTGAAAATCAATCAAAAACATTAAAATATGTTTTTGATTGATTTTCAAGATAAATATTCCCATTTAGAGACCTGAACTTAATGCTACATCAATTCCACTAAATACGATTAATGGTGTTAACGGGCTGTTCTTCTGTGCTTCTTACTACATTATGACCACCAGATTCTATCTATGTGTTGCGTATGTAAGCCAATATCTGTGAACAACATGAAAAATATTACAATTTCCGAAAAAAAAAAAAAATTGGAACATGGGCAGAACTAAAAGAACGCATAGTTAATGGAAATGTTGCTTGTTAAAACTGACAAAGGTTATGTGCCTTCTAAAAAATTGGTGACTTTGACTAGGCTGGTTGCACTAATAGGTAAGAACCAAAAATGTGCTCCATGTGTTCAAAGGGCGTTAAAAATATATTGTGAATCATTAGCAATTTTTTTTTCAATGTACCTACATGTGATTAATTCCTCTCATTTATGGATATTATATAGTTACAATAAACTAGACAAGATCTGAAACATTAATGACTTTAGTAGATTCAGAGTTCTTGCAGCTTTACGAGTACCGCTAACAACATTCACTGTTTCTGCAATTAAAGTCAGAAACCGTGCTGCCCCCCCCCCTGCTCTGATTAAACGGAATTCGGCCGAGAACGATTTGCTACTTCAATTGGGGAAAAAAGTTCCCTTTTTCCTGTGGTGAGGAAAATACTGGATGTTTGGCAGTGGGAAACATTACATAAGAAAGGAAATGTACGGCATTTTAAGCAAGATTTCTTTCGTCAAATGCTATTTGAAAAGTAAAATGGTAGGGCAATGCTATTTACCGGCGGAATCATGAACTACTCTTTTTTTTTCTTTTGACGACTCGCAAAATCTTAGAAACTCATCCCATGAATTTAGATACAAATCGTACATTCTTATTGTAATGCGTTCATTTTTTTATGAATTTTTAAAATGTAGAGGCTTTTGTGCACCTTTTTCCAAAACTTGCTATGGGAAAGAGTTATTTTCTTGATTTTAACGTTAAAATGCCTTTGGTACTTTATACCTAGAAATAGTACTTTTAATACATTGCGTTAATTTTTTTGCTCATATTTCAAAATTGTACGTACATATACTTTCTTACAAATATCACAAAAAATACATTTTAGGCAGTATATATGCAACCTTACCGGTAGAGTAGCTTGTTTTTGTCGTTAGGATACACACAGTGATTAAGAAGGCATTTGACTGAGCGCCCGAGTATTTTTTTAATTTTGAAATCTGCAACAAAATACTTCTAAAGTTTACCCATTTCACAATAATTTTTGACGATAAATGATTCTTACGTGTCAGAGATTTCAAGCGAACGACGTGGTTGCATGTTTCGTTTTCATGATTTTTTCCCTATTTGAAATGGGAATGTCCGTTTCTCTCAGAAAGTTTTCCACGAAGGCATCCTTCACTCTAGACAAATAGATTTCATTTGTTTTTTATATTCTAATGACCATAACCGTGCACATTAACACTACGGCCAGCCAAGCACTCTCCTTTAATATAGCAGCAGAAATGGTATCGTTCAACATGTGAAAAAATTTGAATAACGGTTTTTACAAAATTAAATTTCGCCAAACATTTGATTTCTGATTTAAGTTAGAGAAATAATTAAAAATATTATTTTCTTATTCCTTTTAGGGAAATAATATTAGTATTTATTTCCATTTGCAATGAGAATAGAAAATACATCATTGCTGAAAAAGAAATTAAACATGGCTTCAATATTTTGCTTAGTTGGTATAGAAAAATATTTAACATTTAAAAAATAAACCAAGTAAGTCAATTTTCATACCTTAGGTGATTCAAGTGTTATAATCATACTATTCTGCAGTACCGAGGTTGGAAATGTGCTAGCAGGATGCAAACCGAGCCAAAGTCGGAAATTAGGATGGATTTTAAGGGTAACTATCTTGTTTACTATTTTTTCCAAAGCTGGAAACCAGTCAATTAAAAGGTGGCAATTTGATAAGAATGCCCAGAATCCCTAATTCAGAACAAAAACTGAATTAGGTTACTAGTATTAAATTATACTAAACAATAAAAAATAAATTATATCAAGTAATAAAAAGTAAAAATCTTAAACAGCAAAATAGAATAAATTTTAAATGCTACACTTACTATGAATATTTAAAATACACATGATGATAATTTATAATTAAAGCCTGCAGTCGTTTACATGAACATAGCGTTATAAGATGAAAACACAAAATCTAAAGTTTGAATTATTAAAATTTTGCATTTAATTTTTCATTTGTTTACTGCACACAGAATTAGAATAAGCAGAAATATGTTAATTACTTACTTATTTTATATTTATCAAATGCAGTTACTAACTGAAGTAAAATGTACAATTTTATATAAATTGCTAGACTTTGATTTAACGATTTAAGAATGCATATCGCCAATAAATCATACGAAGCTCAGAGCTCTGGAGCAAGGGTACAGGTTACTATCATAATAAACAAGCTACTTGTCTAATTTAATTTCTTTCTAGCATATAAAAGTTATAATTTCTAGCATATAAAAGTTATAATTTGATTGCGCATAGCAGTATATATATATATATATATATATATATATATATATATATATATATATAAAATTAAGAAAGGAAGAACAAACTAAAAAAGACCTTTGGGTCAATGGTCAAGAATATATATATATGTGTGTGTGTGTGTTTGTAAGATATTAAATACGAAAGAAAACTACTAACTTTAATTTGCGAGTAGCACTTTATATTTCTCATTTTAATTTGGATACCCTTCTTTTCCTAGAGAATCTAAAGTGCGCATCTCAAAATTAATCTGTCATACCATCTTATGCAGTCCTGTAATGCAACAGCTCTTTTTCAATCACAGATCAAAATTTCAATAAAGAACCAACTCTATAAATATCACTGCTGATAAACGCGTATTGTAATTGCTCATATTAAGTTAAAATCTGACAGGATCGAGTTTGTGAAAAATGGCCCCTGTTTAGTTGAAAAATTGGTCTACGGAATTCAACAGCAATATCCAGTAACAAGAAGAAAATAAAAATCCTATCTTCATACTGCTGCAGCTTTCAACAGTGCATCATGTAACCTGCCAGTGCTTCCAAAGAATAATCAAGCATATTGTTCATGAAGTGAAACTGATTTAAAGGTGTTCATAAGTGCTTTAAAGGTCAGCAACGAATAAATTAGGACACGTTCTATTTTTCGCTGGTGCAGGTAAAGCAATGTACTCGTGGAAGAACTCAGCGAGTACTTTATTTTGATACAAAAATCTATATAGAACTTATAGACATATGATATTTATTGGACATATGATGGAAATATTTGGAAATATTGAATTTTGAAACGTAAAGATTTTTGGATTTTTAATCGTATCAACAATGTACTACAAGATATTGGGGGGGGGAGCTGGATGCCTCTTTTATTATTAATTATTTTATTAGCTTACGTGTAGATTCAAATGCTTCTTAAAATAGGATACAAGCAAAACACACTTGCGAGACAAATTCTAATTTTTAATTCAAAGGGGCTTTGTTCCTAAAGGACTATTGTTTTCGTTTTGCGATTTTGCTTTGAAAACTTTAAAAGGCTGTGTCACTTTTCAAATCGTTGCCACCAAATGCTATCGCCCTGTATTATATTTGAAGAAATTAAATAATGAAGAATCTGCAGAAATGAAGGTATGTTTCTCGCATTGTGATAAAACAATGGTACCTAGAGCCAACCAATTTTGAGTGACGTACACCTACTGCGAACATGAGCATCTGAAAGCCCAAATTTGAAATTTCAAATTTGTTTTATTATCGATTTCATATTTTGTGAAACTTTAACGAATTTTTGATTAACAAACTCAATGATTTAAAAGAGAGCAATGGCAACACTCTACGGAAAAAAAAAAAAAAAAAAAAAAAACTTTTTATCTTCAGTCCGCGGAACTGTGTATCGGAAATTCTAAAGGTATGCTCATTTTAAAATTATTTTGCGACATTGCTGTTGAACTGAATTTTATGTTTTAAGTGCAAAGAACATGATATTTAATAAATAAGGGTAGCACACAAAACGTTAGAAAAGCGCCCCTTTGCACGTAGTTTAAAATCTGAAACCTTTCAGATTTTTTTTATTCAAACTTAAATTTTTAGTTAATACACAGTTAAATTCACTCAATAACTGAACAGTTACAATATTAAATAACAAAAAAATAAAAGTTGAACAGAAAGTTATATTTTTTGTACTTTAAATCTTTCATAAATTTGCTAGATCATTTTTAAATATTCACCTCCTGAACTTATGCAGTAATAATATAATTGATATTTAAATGCAGTACCGCCAGCCGTCATCAACGACACTAACTATTTTCGTTCGGAACAATGTAATCCAGGTTACAAAAAGAGCATTAATTTTTCTTTTAATTTTGATCCAAGTTTTATAAAAAGAACTTTATTTTGTGATACATTAATGCACTGATACCATATTTTTAGTACAGTTTTAATTTATAAATTTAATATTATCATATTTTTAGCCGCCATTATTTCATTGTTAATCAATTAAATTTCATAGAACAGTGCCTGCTTTAATACATTTCGCGTTCAAAACCTTAAATTACACATTTCTAACAGTTAACCATATTTATAATTAAAAAAATTAACTATAAATTAAATGAATAAGAATTTTCTATCGGATAGAACTAAAAAACTTAGAAGAGATTAATATCTCTAAGAAATCCTTTCGGAAGCACACAAAAAAAAAGTATGAATGATTTAAATGTTTATTAAGCAAAAGAACATATTTCTAAAGACTTAAAAATGTCATGTCATTAAAATGTCATATGTTCACTTATCTTCTCAATTTAATGACTGAATAATATCTACAAATGGCTAAAGTAGAAGGCAAAGCTGGAATTTCTAAAAAGGTAGATGATAAATTTGTAAGCAGATCTAGATCAAAAAAGATCTAGATCCAAATCTAGATCCCTCTCAGGCAGTAGAAAAAATGAAGGAAAAGATTTAGTTTCAGATACCCAAAGAACAAACTAGAAACTTCAGAACGTATGAAAAATCACTTAGTGCAAAATATTGATCCAACCAAAATGAAAGTCGGTATTGAGCGAGTAATTAGAGGAGTACTAATAGAAGCAGTCAGAAAAGATGATACGGCATTTATTGAATAAGCATTTCAAGAAAATAAAAAGCTTAAAGATACACTAGAGAATAAGAGGCTCACAAAAAGATATCCAAAAAGTATAATATATAATGTAAAACGAAGAACTTACAAAATAAGGTCTTGTAAACACTATGCAGACTCAAAATAATGTATGTGGAGACAGTGTTTTGGACGTAAAATTTTCAGTGACAGGAAAATATGGTAAAAATTGAGTGCTGAGAAAGATTTGATTTTTTCAGGCTTAGGGAATCAGGCTTAGAATCAACGTGTAAATCTCAAATGGACAAGGCATAAGGTAGGAGCGTTCCTTAGAGTAACTCAGTGTCACAAATGCTTTATTTACGGGCATACTAAGAAATATTGCAATGACAAGCAAAGATGCTCCAGTTGCGGAGACATGAAACGTATTAGAGTAGATTTTCCAGCTATGAAATCTTATTGTATCAAGTGTATACATGTAAAAGCAAAAGTATAAATTAGATTCCAGTACTATTCATGATGCTAAAGCTTATATCATCTTCAGAAATACGTTCTTTTGCTTAATAAGCATTTAAATCATTCGTACATTTGTTTGCTTCCGAAAGAAAGTTCTTAGAGATATTAATCTCATCTAATTTGTTTTGATCTATCTGATAGAAAATTCTTTTTCACTTAATTTATAACTAATTTTTAAAAAGCATTAGAAATATGTTTAACTGTTAAAAATGTGTAATTTAATGTTTTGAACGCGAAATGTATTAAAGCATGTGCTGATATATGAAATCTAATGATAACAATAAAATAATGGCGGCTAAAAGTTTGATAATATTAAATTAAAAAACTAAAACTGTTCTAAAGATATGGTTTTAGTGTATTAATGTATCACAAAATAAAGTTATTTTAATAAAACTTGCATCAAAATTAAAAGAAAAATTAAGGGCTCTTTTTCTATAATAATGCCTTATTGATCACTTCGTTTGTCTTTATTCAAGCAAAGATGACTTTTTTTCTTTTATTAAGATATAGATAAGATCTTTAAAAGGTTTTACATGTTGTTGGGAATGGTAATAGTTAAAATGTATGCATGTAACCGAAAGTATAATTGGATTCCAGTATTATGATAAAGATATAAAAATAATGATAAAGATATATCGTATAGTTCTCTCAACGAGAATTAGAATTATACAAAATGAAAATAAAATGTGGATAAATTCCGTATTATTCAGATAAATACACAGCACAGCAAGAGTGCGACTCTACAGTTTAATGCGAATTTAGATTTGGAAAAATCTCGGATATTGTTTGTATTCAAAAACCATATGTATAAAGGGAAACTTACAAGTCTTCCGCAAGTCCAAATATAGACGGTAGAAGAAAGACTCTAATCCAAAAACTATAATCTTAGTATCTAACTCTGCTCTTGGAATTTATTGTACATGTATTGTACAAGTAGAAACGTCTATCTTCAAGTACCGATCCATTTATAGTTTGCTCAGTTTGTTGCCCACCATTTTTATCTTAGATAATATACTAATGGACATACAATAACATCAGGGTTTACGTTATGGAATGTTATTGTATTTATGTATTAATAATTGAAAAGTGTAAGATAATATTAGTCTAAGTCAGGGTTTCTTAAACGTTTTTCAGTCGCGACCCCTTTTTATCACTGAGATTTTTTTCACGACCCTCAGGACCCCATAATATTTAGAAAACTTTTGTGGGATCCCATAAGTATTGCGCAAATCAGACACACGCGTGAGTGAAACTGTCAATTTTTTTCATTTGTAGTTTTAGATCATTAACTTTAATTTCTAATTTTAAGACATAGAACAATGTGAAAAGTAACAGGCAAAATGGCAGCTTCACGTGAAAAGCAAGGAAAATGAACGTTTATATTAACGATGTAAATTTAAAGTTAAGTGAAGTGCTATTTAAACGTGTGATTATCTCAGTTTATTCAGAGCGTGTTTCGCTAGCTAAGCGCACATTTCGTTGTTATTTCGCGGTCACGCTAGTAAGCCTCTTGTCCTTATCAGTTTAGTATCACGCCGGTTCGATCTCTGTGAGTCCACCTCTTAGGCGTAAATTGAAGTGATTTCTTGCACTCTTTATTTTTTAGATTTGACTTGTATTATAGTCTACGTTTAGTTACCACCGCAAGTGAACGGTGTTTTTGTAACGCACGAAGTCCCTGCTTTTCTGTTAAATTAGTTTGATTTAATAAAGGGTTATTTTACACCCTTTTTCTGTGCTGGTATTTAACTCACGCCTGTGCGAGAATTCGCCAGGTTCATTGTAGGATTTAATTTAGTTTATGTGGAAGAATAGAGATAGGTCTTATAAATTATTGAAGCACAGTTTATCAAGCAGAAGGTGAAAACTGTGATAAACTTTGAAAGAAGACATTTTATGACCAAATGCCTTTCTCAAAAGTAACAAATTACAATATGCGAGCATTTATACAGACAGCCAAACCGTTTTAAAGGCGTTATGTTCTACGAAGAAAACATGTTTACTTCTTCAAACTCTTCAAGAAATAATAAAAATGTAAATGAAAATTCATCCTATTAGCTTAAACTGGATATAGGGATATATAGCTGAAACAGAGAATGAAGCTTCTGATATAGCAACTAAGGAAGCCACATTAAAATATGTGATTGATATCTATCTTCCTATTTCAAGATTGCAATCAAAAATAAAATTTCTGAAAACGTTTTAATTAAATGGCGAAGGAGATAAGTATGAGGCAGATGCAGGAACATTAACTCCCGAATTTTTCACATAGGTATCCGTAAAAAAAAATAAAAAAAATTTTTTTGCTAGTACAATTAGCAATAAATCATGGAAAGTTTCCATCTTATTTTCAGCTGTTCTTAAGAAGAAATGTAAGATTTGAATGCAGAACACCAGCATATCTAGCGCAGATGCCAAACTTTAGATTTGGCAATATCTGTTACTTTCAAATATTAGAAGACAGCATTTACTAGGTTTCGCAATAAAAATTTCAGTAAAATATTTATTCTACGATACAAAGTGTATGTTTTTTCTTCAAAAAATTATGAAATATATTATTGAAAACGAAGGCCATAATCAGGCATGAACTTCGACTTTATTAGTTGATTCAACAGCAATAAAATTGTGACAAAGATATTCTGCCTATTTATCAAATATTTTAGTCCCAATACATATAACTTTTGATTCTTTATTTTTCTGAGATACCAGTTATGTTTCAGCTCTCCAAGATGGACGTGAATTTTGCCTTGCTTTTCTTTATTGAATGGCTCTGAACATAGTTTGACATAGAAGTTATACACAATATTCTTATATGAGTTATGGACAGATTTTATATTTTCTTCGTGTCTAGCAAAAGATTAATGTTACATGAGCAGCAGAAATTTACCATTTTGGCTGCATCAACTATAAGTTGTGATGCTACAACTTCTTGCCCCTGACCTAGAGAAATGGCTCTATAACGATCTGCCATTCCACATGTTTCAGCAAGGTTCTGAATTATTTGTTCAGGATCCTGCAATAATACAGTAACATGGATTTATATTGTATTAAATAATTATTATTAATTAAGCATCACTAATAATAAAAAAGACTGTCGTTAAATGTCTGTTAAACTCACTATGTATGATGAAAGAGTAAAAACCACTAGAGGCTTATTTGATGTAGATTCTTTAACAATTTCACTTAAATCCATGCCAGGGTATACCAAAAATCTGAAGTAAAAAGCAAAAAAAAAAAAAAAAAAAAAAAAAAAAAAAAAAAAAAAAAATTCCCACAGTTCGATATAGACATTTTGCTATTTAGTATACTATTAAAGTGATTTTGATGGAATTTTAACACATATTACAGTTTAGCAACGAAATTAATCATCTTAGAATTTCACATTTTTCAAAGATAAGAAAATAATTTTACGAACGAAATTTGTTCAAAATCTCAAACACAATTAATTTTTCCAAAAATGATTAATGAGTTGCTAACAGTGATCATTGATCTATCAACAATGATCAAATTTTAAATCAAAACTGCCAAACAGGAATTCAAATAAACGCAATATAACCTTACATTATTGAGTATATTAGAAAAGTCATATCATGTACTTCATTGCTGTGCTGATTAGGGAAAATAATTTCCCAACATTTAGCGACAAGATTTCGTTTCTTTATTGCCATACCCCTTCAGGCTGCAAAATACATATAAAACATACTAAGCATACTAAAAAACAACTTATATTGCGTTTCATATAAATTGCTGTTTGACAATTTTGATATGAAATCTTTCAACAAATGTGAATAATCTGTACATCTGTTTAATCCTTGTACAAAGGTAGTATTGTATCCCTGCTAAAAATGCCCCGTAGAAACCCATAAAATTTTTTTACGGGGAATTGGCCTGCGGGTACCCGTAGGCCAAATCCTCGTAAAAACCCACAGACAGAAACCCGTACAACCGTACGGGTACCCGTAGGCCAAATCCCCGTAAAAACACATAAAAAGAAACCCGTACGTTTGTACGGGTACCCATAAGCCAAATACCCGTAAAAACCCATAGAAAGAAGCCTGCACGGCTGTACGGGTACCTGTAGGCTAAATACCCGTAAAAAACCTGTAAACAGAAACCCGTACGGATACGAGTAGGACAAATCTCTGTAGAAACCTGTAGAATTGTAGGCACTATAAACAAAATCCCAGTAAAAACCCATAGCCAAAAATCAGAGCTTTATATGCATATCCATTGGCCAAATTTCCATTAAAAAATTGTTATTCCGTAGGTCTATGCCTTGTAAAAACCAGTAAACAAAAGCATGTACACCTATACAGGCACCCATAAGCCAAATCCTGTAAAAACCACTACACAAAAATCCACAGACCAATAAAGGTACCTCTTGGAAAAATCGCTGCACAAAACAGTAACAAAAACCCATAAACAAGAACCAATAGACATTATACCATAGTGGAGTATCAATACATAGAATTGTACATAGAACGGTATCCATATCCATATACAGAATCCCTATACACAAAAAACAATACACAAAAATAGAACTGTAGATCAAATTTCCATAAAAACTAGCAATTAAAAACATAAACCAGCAGAAGTACATAATTAGCACTGATGAAATGTACAGAACTAAATGGCGGAAGAAAGCATGTAAAGTAATTTTAAAATATAAAATTCAATGCGAATAAACTTCAAAAATTTTAAAAATGTCTAGAAGCCTACGAGCTCCCGTCCTTCTTAATGCACGTCAGTATATCTATAAACATATTACAAAATATTTGTATAAATTCTCTTTACAAAAATTTTAAACTACCTTTATATAATTCTGAAAATAAAATGAATAGAAAGATAATAACCAAAGTCATGATTCACAACCATCGAATGATATATTTACATATATATATATATAAGAAAAATAAGGAATATGCAAAAGATTAAATTAGCAGCGTAAAATTAATTTTCCTTCTCTATTCTAAAAACAGCAATCTTTCTGCACTGCATCATTTCGAGATTATTTCATGTCATATGATCCTTACATAATTTGATGTTGTAAAAGAAACTAAAACAGCCAATAGTAATTTTACAGCAGTATTAACTATCAAATACGAGTAAAAATGCATCGAGAACCAAAATTAACTCGGTCTGAATTAAGATTTCACCCTTAACATAACACATTTGCTTCTTACGCTTTGGCCTAACTGGATTGCAGTCTGTCCGCTCCTTGTTTCTTACTACACATTTATCAAAAATGTTAATTTTTGGAATAGGCATAAATAATGTGCCAACTTGTTTGTGGTTGCAACATATTTACTGAAAGAAAAGTTGAATTAAATCTACCCCGACTGCCAAATTTCTTATTCATTGTGGATTGGAGTTTCAACATCTCTAAGCCATCAAAATTCTTGCTGTTCATTACGGATTCAGCTGCTTGTATTCGACTACAGAATCTATTACATATATATATAATATCATTTCATTTGAAGGTTGCGAATCATTACTTTGACTGTATATATATTATTGATTTCATTATAAATATATACATATAGTACTGTATCTCACTGCATATATTTGTATTTCAGTTCCTTAATTGGGAAATTAAACAATTGTATTTAATCACATCAGCTTGTTTAACAATTTGATACCTAATGAGAAATGTATTGCCGAAGGATGGTACTTTCTAGCATCTGCTTAAATTTTAAGTTACCTAGAATGCACTAAACCAAATTAAAAAACAAAATTAGAAGAAACCCAAATTTTCAGGAAAAGAAACATTATTAAAAGCAAGCAAAAAGAATGCGGGACTTGCAAATTAGTAACTTAACATAGAGTTCAAATTTAGCATACTTGCTATCCCCTTAAGGCTCGCTTACCACTGATAGTAACACCCTACAGTTTATTATGACACGCATACACATAGATGTTTTGCGTGGAAGAAAGGATGAATCCTAGAATATAATGTAGTGAAGAAATAATAATGGCTTATCTTTGGAATATGGTAACAGGTAGTTTGGCGACATTTTGGTAAGGCCATAAAGGTTACTAGCTAGGACTTTAGCAGTGTACATGGATAAAGTCAAGAGTGTGCGCAATGCCATTTTTGTGCAATTCTGGGATTTTTTTTAAGTGAAAATAGGTCGACGTGTACATGGATACCAATGATAGTAAGACCCTGCAGCTTATTATGACACGCATACACATAGATGGGTACAACTCTAATATACGCCCTAATTTCACCAAATGTGGCGATATGTGTTCTGCGCTGGTTTTTGGCGCGATTGCGTGTTCTATGGCAAGCCTGTTGACGTTGAAAAATCTTTCGTTGGAGCTCGTTGGTTCGCCTCTGTGTCTGAGAAGATGGGAGAGAAAGATAAAATGGTAGTTGTTGAATTGAAGTTCGGCAAAAGGAAATATCATTGTGGCTATCCTGTTGAGGGGTAGTGGGTATTTAGAAGTGTGGAAAGAGGGTCTGGGAGATTATTTTTAATGGCAGTGCATGATAGAAGTAGGGATTTGTGATTTTATTTATTGTGAACCATAGTATAAATTTTCTGGATAGTGTGTCTGGCTGTCATGTAAATACGATAGTGATTACGTGGCGGTATGAAATTTATATTTCTGCTATTCGAAAAACGCATTAATTCATGGTAAGTGCATTTTATTTTATCCTTGTTCTTATTTTGTAGAATGTTATGTTCATTGGTTCTTTAGTATGAATTTCTGTCGTTATTGTTGTTTTTTTAAATTGTTTGAAATTTATTTTAGTTTATTTTGTTGTTTAGTGTCTAGACTGTACAATTCGTAGATGTTTTTTAAAGTTGAAACAGAACGCTGTGTACATGGTATTATTTGAAATTTATTGTTGTTATGTTATTTTATTAAAGCGAGGAGTGCGTAGATCGTAGATTTCTTCCTTGCCTAAATTGTGCAATTCGTAGAATTTTTTTAAAGTTTAAACAGGATGCTGTGTACATGGTATTCTTTGAAATTTATTGTTGTTATGTTAATTATTTAATAATTATCATTATTAAAGCGAGGTCTGCGTAGTTTGTAGATTCGTTCGTTGCCTACATTGTGCAATTCGTAGATGTTTTTTTTAAGTTAAAACATGTCGCTGTGTACATGGATTCTTGTCAAATATTTTTGGTTAGAAACTTTACGTTTTTGCTATCTAAATTTTTTGTTTCGGATTTTTAGCTAAATTGTGTGTTCAAAACGTAGTTTTTGCATGTGCGAAAACCGCGTTTTTGGAGACATTTTAGGCTAAAAGTTCAAAATGTAGACAAAAAATTTAGATAGTAATATGGCAGCGTGAAGTTTCTCGCCAAATATTTTTGGCGAGAAATTTGGCGACTTGAGGGCGCATATCAGAGTAGTTCCCATAGATGTTTTGCGTGGAAGAAAGGATGAATCCTAGAATATAATGTAGTGAAGAAATAATAATATACAAACACTGTGTCGAACCCTTATTACAATACTTTGAATGTTACCTGTATCTCTCAAAAGATAAATGAAACATGAAGATAACATATTATAAACTTAATAATACCCAAAATACAATACATTATATTGTAACAAAACGAATTAAAAAAAATTTACAAGTTTCAACAAATACCAATTCTCAACGCACAGTTCGGGAATTCAGGAAATATCTCATAGCGTATAATGTTTTATTCTGTATCTCACTTTTAGTGCTATATAATCTTCCACAGATTTTATATAAAATAAAAATCTATAACATAATGGGTATTTATACTATATGTAGTTCTTGATGTTAAAAAAGATCAACTTTCGTACTGTAAAAATTCCATCTATGTGAATAAGTATGAATATACTCATAATTATACTAAATAACTAATTTAATGAAACTGAATTCCTGTAGAAAAATGGGGAAAGTGTAGAATCGCCCACTGCTTGGCCTGTTTTTTAAGAATTGCACTTACTCGGTATCCATGTACACATCGATCTATTTTCACTTAAAAAAACATCCCAGGAATTGCACAAAAAAATGCCATTGTGCACTCCTTTGACTTTAATATCCATGTACACATCGACCTATTTTCACTTAAAAAGTCAAAAGAAAATTGACAAAAAATCCAATTCCTTTTTACTTTTGTGAAAAGTGCCAAATAAATAAGTGGGCGATTCTGCACTTTACCCGAAAAAAATATATAAAAATACCATTTACCTATATATATTAATAATTTATTATTACACA